AACATCCTGCTGTGGATGTCTGAGCCCATCCCGGGGGTCCCACATCCTGCCTTGAGGGTCTGAGCCCATCTCAGGGGGCCTGAACTCTGCCTTGCAGGTCTAGTACTGCCCTAGAGGGTCTTACGTCCTGTCTTGGGGGTCTGAGTGCTCCCTGGAAGGGGGTCCCACATCCTGCCCTGGGGTCTGAGTGCTCCCCAGAAAGGAGCCCCACATCCTGCCTTGGGGGTCTGAGTGCTCCCCGGAAGGGGGTCCCACATCCTGCCTTGGGGGTCTAAATGCAGCTGCAGGGAACGCAATCCTGCCTTGCGGGTTGGAGTCCCCTCGGGGGGTCCCACAGCATGACTTGATGGTCTGAGTCCTCCTCCAGGGGGGTTCCCACATCCTGCCTTGGGGGTCTAATTGCTCCCCTAGGCATCCCACATCCTTCCTTGGGAGTTCGAGTGTGGCCATGGGAGTCCCAATCCTGCCTTGGGGATCCAAGCCCATCTCGGGGGTCCCACATCCTGCCTTCGGGGTCTGGGCCCATTCCGGGGGTCCTGCATCCTTCCCTGGGGGTCCAGGCCCATCCAGGGGTTCCACATCCTGCCTTGGGGGTCCAAGCCCACCCCGGGAGTCCCACATCCTGCCTTGGGGGTCCGAGCTTATCCTGGGGGTCCCACATCCTGCCTTGGGTGTCAGAGTGCTTCCTTGGGGGTCTCATATCCTGCCTTGGGGGTCCAAGCCCACCCTGGGAGTCCCACATCTTGCCTTGGGGGTCCAAGCCCATCCCGGGGGTCCCACATCCTGCCCTAGGGGTCTGGGCCCATTCTGGGGGTCCCGCATCCTACCCTGGGGGTCCCACATCCTGCCTTGGGGGTCCAAGCCCATCCCAGGGGTCCTGCATCCTGCCCTGGGGGTCTGGGCCCCTTCCGGGGGTCACACATTCTTCCCTGGGGGTCCGGGCCCATCCTGGAGGTTCCACATCCTGCCTTGGGGGTCCAAGCCCATCCTGGGGGTCCCACATCCTGCCTTGGGGTTCAAGCCCATTCCGGGGTTCCACATCCTGCCTTGGGGGTCCAAGCGGAGCTTTGAGAGTCTCA